ACTCTTAATTGATTGCTATCATTAAATACTATTTGGAAATTGTTTTGTGATCGTGCTATTGACAAAAGCATTTGGGGAGGTGAGAAGTACACTTCATGGATTCTGTTTAGTTTTGGTTTGATTTTTCCATATAGTTCCCTCTAGGACTCATTTCTGCCACCATTAATTTTGTTTTGGCACTATGAGACTTCTGTCTCTTTTCCAAAGTCAAAATGACTATGAAAGGTAAATGTTTTAAACCATTTTAGAATTTTAAGTTGGCCAAGGCAATACAAATGAAGACATTCATGAAAGAGGACTTTTAGCACTGCTTCAGATTGTGCAGACTCAGTAGGATAAGTGTGTTTGAAATAAGGAGGAGTATTTTGAAGGCCCTCAATGACAATGTGCCACTTACTCTTAATTTTAAAACATTTAAGCCACACATGGTTGCACATGCCTGTAGGAGGCAGGAGGATTACTCCAAGTTTGAGGCCATCCTGGTCTACATTGTGAGTTCAAGGCCAGTTTGAAGTGCGTAACAAGATCTTGTCTCAAAAAAAAAAAAAAAATGCAGACATTAACCATATTTTTCAGTCACACCTCATTGAAGAGTTGAATGACTTAGGTAGTTAATTAGCTTATTTACATCCCATCTTGGTTGGTTAGCTTTAAAAGGCATAGTAAACCCAGGCTGGACTATATTTGAGAGTTAAGTATCTAGTGAGATGATATTCCTTGATCATAGGATATAACTGATAGCCTATATTATAGCCAATATGAATTCAATAAGATGATACAGGAAAAAATAAAACTCCCAACCTGTTAGATGTCACATGTGCTGAGTTTGTGTCCCCTGAAATCTAAGAAATATTTTTTTTTCTTTTTTTGTATTTAGTATAGGGTCTACAGGGTCTCACTACACAGATCAGCCTCATAGTGATTCTCCTGTTTTCAGCCTTCCAAGTGCTAGGATTGCAGGCGTGCACCACCACACCCAATCTCAATTGCCTGCTCAGCACACCCCTGGGGCGAGGTGGCACAGCACACTAGGGATCGAACCCCGGCTGCTGCACTCTGTCTAAGCAGGTGCTTTAGTCCTCTGAGCTATCTGGCCAGCCCTTAAGAAAGAATTCTAAAGGACAAAGAAGGTTCAGAGATGGAAAGGTGTATCAGGGTAAAGGAACAGCTCGTGAAACACAAGAGGGGCCACAAGTGGGTGGCCACGAAGGCCCCTTGTCAGGGATAATTTATACAACACAGTCACGATGTTGGTATAACCTGGGTCAAAATGTAATCAACTAATAAGATTGCAAGTATAGCTGCTTAGCTAACTGATCCAACAAGGAATTGGGACACATAGGAAGGGCATATAACTGACAATGTTAACCTTGGCTTATCTGTGACTCTTAACACTGGAACATTTGTGGGAAGGGATGAGTCAGGATGTTCTGGTCACCAGCCTGATGCACATCTGGATTTAATGTACTGGGTGGTACTAATTACAGTAAAATCCCAAATTCTGCTTATCCTTTAGGGCAGTGTACAACTCAGGCCATTGTGACTGTCTTGGGGTCTTGCTCTCTTCAGATGTACCTCCAACCACAGTTCTAATTCTGTATTTTTCTGCTGACTTCTTTGACAGCCCAGTCCCTTTCTGATTGTATATTAATTTCTATCTAATATAGCTGCCTATGTTAAGACTACCATTCTGCTATTTTTCTTCCAAAGGAAAATTCACCAAAACAAAATAATTTTTTAAAAATATACATTAATTTTTATCACAGTCAGAAATCCTGACTGATATAAAAAAAGGATTGAAAAAGACATGATATTAAAAAGTGTTGACTTAGCATATTCTACACAATGAGAAATTATGGCTGTCTTGGGGTCTGGTCTTCCTCAAGTGCAGAGTTTTATGTGAGTACAGTTGTAGTGACTCCTGTTTTAGAGAAAATTCCAAATCTTTAAAAATTAACAAGAACTATTATAGTTCTATAAAATTTTATTTGGAAAAAAATCCTTTAAGCAAAGCAAGCATCTCTTTATTTTTAAAATATTTTAACCATGTAAAGTTAGAATTCTTGTTTGTTGGAGCTGGGGAAATAGCTTAGTAGAATACGCACTTGCCTGGCAAGCACAAGGTCCTGAGTTCATTCCCCCGGACCACCAAAAAAAAAAAAAAAAATTCTTGTTTGTCTAATCTTATTTCCCCTAAGGAAACAGTTTTCATTTTGGTATGTAGTACCAATTGTCTATCCATTTTACATTTTTTAATTTTATTTATTTATGTATGCTTTGCAGTGTTCTAAACCTACCTTATTTTTTGTTTATGTAAAAAGGTATCCTAAAATGTCCTGACTTCTACAATCCTCATTTAGAAAACAATTGTTCATAGACTGAAGAACCATCAGTAATAAACTGTCAGACATTTAGTTCTGTGCTGCTCAATATACATGCTGCATGTAGCTACTTAGCATTTAATTTTGCCAACTCCAAATTGAGATACTTTGTTAAGTATCAAATATACATTGAATTTCAAAGACTACAAAAAGAATATGAACTATATCAAAATTTCAAATGTGATACACCTAATTATAAAATTATATTTAATTTTATCTCTTTCCCTTTTTATTCTAAATGTGACTGTTAGAAATTTTTAAATTGTAGGGCTGGAGAGATGGCTCAGTGGTCTAAAGCACCTACTTGGAACAAGCTTGGCAAAGCACAGGGACCGCGGTTCAATCCCCCAGCACCACATGCCAGCCAGCCCCACCCCCTGGTGGGCTGAGCTGGCCACACACACACACATCTCTCTCTCTCTCTCTCTCTCTCTCTCTCTCTCTCTCTCTCTCTCTCTCTCTCTCTCTCTCTCTCTCTCTCTCTAATAAATAAAAATAAAAATAAAAATTTAAAAAAAAAAGAAATTTTTAAATTGTATCTATGACTCACATACTTCTATTGGACAGTGCTGATTTAAATTTCTTGTTTGTATACTTACATTCTAAAAATACTGTAATACCATCTTACAACCAGAAAACCCTATTGAATGATTTTCAACAATAACTTATCTTTTCTTAGTATTTCATATGTTGTTTTTTGGTGTCATCTTTTGATTCTTTTTGTTGTTGCTCCCAATACATTGCTACCTTAACTCTCCCTTTGATATCAGTAAGTCTCCTACGAGTTTAAATAGGTCTCAGTGAAAGCAGTACTTGAGCCTCATTCATATGTTCAAGTTGGATCGTTATTCCTAATAATTGTTTTAAGTGCCTAGATAGATCAGCACTTGTGTCGTGAATTGCTCCTCATTTTTTTATAAAGATGATTCAAGAAGCTGCTCCATGTGATCTCCTTTCATTATTTTCCTGCAAAAAGTAACAGAATCCTTTATTAGTTTGTTAGAAGTCAGAAATGAAAAAGCTTTTTATGTTAGCAAAAGCAAAATATATTTTGAGGTCTGAGAATAAAAAAGATTAGTCATGAATGAGTCCTGTGCACATTAATTTTTAAAACAAATCTTGAATGTGTTGTCAGTCTGCCAGTGGCTTTAGCCTCAATTCTATTTTCCTGTTATGCAGTACTTGGGTCCAGGTTGTCATCAGCTACCACGAGGAAACCTATGCATTTCCTAGAGAGAAAAGTTGTACTGTTAGACTTAATAGTATGGTAGTCATGGCAGCATCAGTTATCTTCATCAAGGCAATTCAGATTTGATTATTATAGAACTGTGTTGAATACCAAACCAGTGGAGTAGTAGCTGGGGCTAAATCAAGGGATTGTCATTTTTGTCAGATGATTAGAGCTGGCTTGGAAGAGATATGAAAGGGTTGAACTGTGTAAATATTCTCTTTTCAGCAGAAAAAGAAAAGGTCCATCATGGCCATTAAGATGCAGCTTGTTAGCTTGATGAATTTCAAACTATTTAACCTTAGCAATTACATTCTCTTCTCTCCCATGCCTACATACGAGCCTATCAGTGCTTTGGGATTATATCTGCATAACATATACATAGTACTTCATCTTCCATTAAGATGAAATATAGCCTGTCTGTGTCTAGATAGAACTCTTAAAGTACATGCTCTGGTGCAAAGACCTAATTATTATTTGAATCATATGTTTAGATAAGCATTAGAGTATTTTTGTAAATTTTGAAAACTTTTTTATGGAGAGTGAACATAATTTAACATTTTGGAGATGATGGTATTCACTTAAATTATGCTGTAAATATATTAGAAATCGTTTTTAGCTACCTTTAAGGGCCTTTAAACATTTAAATAATTAGTATAGTTAAAAATAGCAACAACTTCAAATGGACATACCCAGCATAATGATATGAAAACATTTCTACCATATTATAAATAATATTAAATACTAAAAAGTATAGTATTATTTCATTTTAAGAAAATGTCCATTGGTCACTTTAATGCTTATCCTGCTGATAGTTCCATTACCTTATATGTTTTGGTTACTTATTATACCCATAAATAAGAATAGATGATAGAGAAATTGCTAACCTCAAAAGAATTACTGAATTTTGAAATTGTATTTATTTTAGGAGAAAGAAGACTTAGTGTGCCATCTAGTGGACATATTTAGCGTTCTTATCATTAAAAACTAATTGGTGATTTATTTAGTCCTGCTTCAAAAGGTAGTTTTATCAACACTTTGTGTCTTACCCCTTAACTTGTGTTACATCACATACAATTTTTCAGCTTTCTTTTCATTTTATCTCATATTTTGTAAAGTCATTAAGTGATCAAATCAGCAAAAATAAATAGGGATAAATCTATTTGAAATACGAGACACGTTAAAATGAAATATAGTAAAAAAATTTCAGTTTTAATTAGGATAATGATCACTTAAGGAAAAACTTAAACTATTAAGTAAAACCTAATTATTAGACTTCATTAATTTATGTATTTTTTCTGAAGAAAAAAGATTATTTGTCTTTTATATGTTAATGAATAATTTAGATGGTTTTATCCATTTCAATTTATTGCTTTTTCTTTTTCTTGTAGAGAAATCCAAGACCAGTGACTTCTCAGTTTCACCCCAATTTAGATTATTACAAGGCACGGGGAGCAGACCTTATGAATAAAAGCAGGTAAGTCCCCTTTCTCTGATGGCAGTTCTTGATTGCAAATGTAGTCTCAGAGGTCATCAGAAAATTTTATACATTTGCTGAAATTTGGTTTTCATATCAATGGCTTATGTGCATAATGAATCTTTGTTGAATCATCTAGTTGTTTTAAGGCATAAGAAAATGGTATATTTTAATGTCAGTGGTAACATGAAAAATTAAATAAGTGTAAAAGTACTTTTTACAGTTTGAAGTTAGGCAACTTCATTTCTCTAACAATAATAAACCTGAATAAATTGTGCCTACTTGGTATAATCTCTTTCTAGATCCTTGCTGTTGATTGAAAAGAGGCAGTTTTATAATATATTTTAAATTATTTCAGTTACAAAATTAAAATTGGGTTTCCCAACTGTCTTTAGAGCTACACAATAAGCTTATAAATGCATCTTTTGTGTGCATTTGTGATTGCATGCACAGAAATTTTAAGGGTCACTGTAGGAATAAAAGACATTAAAATCCTACTTTTTAAAGAAATTAACATTGGCATAAAGGGTTGATGAACAGTTTTGTTCTTTCATAATATATACTCAGATGTCTCAAGAGTTAACTTGTCAAACCAGAGCCATTTCAAATTATAACATAATTTCAAAGTTTACTCTGGAAGACTAAAAAATGTTAGAAATGATAAATGCTACCAAGTTGTCCAAATTTTCCTCCTTAAACATCTTGCCTATGTGCTAGCTTCCCTTCATCAGAATTCCAGCAGCCTAAATATGCATTCATGTGGCACATTGAATATAGTACTCTGTTGTTACTACTAAAGAATTAAAATGCCTGCCACATAGGAACTTACAGTCTGAGGCAGTGGTGGTGAACCTATAGCATGTGTGCTACTTGTTTTTGTCTTGAGATAAAAGATATTAATGTATGAGTTGGGTTTTTCTCAACTAAAACCTCAGTATTTGGATTTAATTGCAGTGTTGATACTTTATAAGTGGGGTTTTGGCACACATCTCTAAAAGGTTCACCATCACTGCTCTTGAGGGGTGAGAAGCAGTTTATAACAAAGTAGCTAAATTTTAAGCTAAAAATATGAATTCAATTACAACAGTAGAAGTAATAGAATATCATAAGATTACCCTGCTTTAATTAAAATCTATTTGTCCATTTTTTTATATACTTAAATTTTGAGACCAATTCTATAGCCCATGAGATTTTTCTGAAGTTCTTTTCTGTAGGTTCATTTCGTCTGAGTCTCATTTCCAAACAAAAAGCTATTCCATGTAGTGACCTGTTCATTCAGTTCAATATAATTTTATTGCATACCAGACTCTTGAGTATTTTAGCCACTGCAGTACAGGTTCTGAGTAACAAATCATACACAAATTCCTACCCTCAAGAATCTTAATTTCTTGAGTTACATTTGCTTCTTATTGTGTCAAGTGTTTAATTTTGGTATGTTTAAAAGGAACAAAGTATTTTAGGTTCTTTTTTATACAGATCCTTCCCTTTCCCCCCAAAGATCAATTTTCACAAAACAGCCAGAAACAAGAGAAGGCTAATGTGGCTGGGGCCCTGGAGTAAAGAACAGGTGAGGTTAGAAGGAGACCATGGCTAAACCAATAGGAAAAAGCCTCAGGAAGAAAGCTTAATTATCAATGGCAGTGAGATAGCTTTGGAGGGCTATTTTTAACTCTTTTTACTGGAGCACTCCTCCCCACATCTTCCCATGGCTCTTCCTGATTTAGAGTTCTGCCAAAGCACCATCTCAGAGAGGCCTTTGTTCTTTTCCCTGCCTGTCTCCCCCGTTCGTTATCCCATTGTTCAGTTAGCACTTGTCACTAACTAAAATTACATTAATTCATTTGTATATTTATCATGTTTCCCCAAACATCTTATTAAACTCTAAGCAGCGTGGGGTCAAGCACTTTGTCTCATTCATGACTTAATGGCACCTGTCAATGCTCAGCATAAGAAAGAACTTTAATAAATAGTCACTGTATATTCTATGTATCTCCCATCATCTTTTACTCCCCAAAAGAAGTGGTCTTTGCCCCTTCTTTTCTCTCATTTGTGTTTGATTTCTGTATTTAGCCTTTTCTCCCTCATTTTGTAAACTATTGGATCTGTTTTATTTTCTTGTAAGCACGTTAAGACTTTTGTACAAAATATCATTTCATGATTGGAAGGAAGAAATTTAATCATCTTGTGCAATTTCAAAGCTTGAAATTGAAATCAAGCCAAATCAGATATAATTTGTGAAGTAGAAGATATCACAGACCAGTGATCAAGGAGTTACTAGATGGTACTGGGAAAATTAGCAAATCTTTTAAAAGATACCAAGCTATAACCCTGCCACACAAAGAAATAAATTCCACAGTTCAGTCAAACAAACATAGAAACAAAATAGAAGTATTTGTCTGATGAAAAGTTAGTTAAAGACTTTTTAACCTTGATTTTTTGTTTTACAACAAATATTTTAATGTAAATATGTCAGAAGAGGGGTCGGGGAAATGGCTCAGTAGAATAAGCACTTTCCTGGCAAGCACAAGGGCCTGAGTTCAATCCCCGGTTCCAAAAAAAAAAAATGTCAGCAGAGGATAATCTGAATCAAAGGGCAAACAGAAAATTAGGAAAATATTTTTTCTTGATATAATTGACAAAACAGTATTAAATTTCTAATGTATAAAGAACATACACAGTTGCATAAAAATACACGTTTGTGTCTGAATGGCCATTCTGTCTCACAGCAGCTCTCTGTGCCTTCTCATCCCAATTCCTCTCAGTGTTCAGACATCCACAGGCTTCTTTTCTTGTCTATATTCATTCCCTACACAACCTCAACCCATCTCATGGTTTTACACCCTATGTAATAGAAGCATCCATATTTATGTCTTCAGTTTTACCCCTGGAGCTCACATATCACTGTATGTATATTTTTCTCTTAGATGTCCCATATGCATCTCAAATTTAACACTTTCCAGATTAAATTCTTAATTTTTATATCCATACTCAGGATCCTATTATTTCTCAAGTGTTTGTCCATCTCAGTAAATAGCCCTACCTTGTTCCTTGGAATAGCTCTTGATTCCTTTTTCTCTCAATTATACAAGCCCCGTAGCATATCCTCTTTAAAATACCCTGAAACAAATTACTTTCTGTTCTTTGTACTGTTGAGACTAAGTTATTACCATTGCTCATCTCATTACTAGTCTCTTTACCCATCTTCCTGTTTTCTCAAGCAATAGCCAGACTAATGTAAATTAGATTATATTACTCCACTGTTCAGAACTCTACGATGACTTAACCCTTAGATCAAAATTGAAAAAGGTTTTTGGGGTCTACATCATCTAGCCTCCTGCCATCCCACCTTAATTTGTCACCATCACTCTGCATTTGTTCACAGCCAAATGGCCTGCTTCATTTTCCTCAAACACATACAGAAATATGCCCACTTCCCTTTCCAGAGTTTTGTATTTGCCTTTTTTATGTTTGGAATGCTATTCACCCTAAATATATGTGTGATGCTCACTATTTAGTCTCTGTTCAAATACCTTCTCTTCAGAGAGGTTCACTTTGAATTCTGTGTCAATAGTAATAGGCTCCTTTACCCCAGTCCCTTTACTTTGTTACTGTTTTTCTTTTGTGTGTTCATCGTAGCAATGCTCATTGCCAAAATGCTTTTTTAAAAATTTTTGTTTATTGTGGTTATTTTGTTTGTTTCTTATAGCAAGAAAAAAGTCCACATTTCATTTGTTTACAGCAGCACCTAAAAGTGTGCCTAGAATATAGCAGACAGAGTAAAAGAATTGTACTCAGCAAATAGATGTCAACTGTTTCAAACATATAATTAGTTAAATAAATGAAGTTAAAGCTACAGTGGGGTAACATTTTTATTTTTCATATTTTCAAACTAAAAACCAGTGAACCAAGCATTGGTGAAGGTGCATAGGTTCCCTTAGTTGCTGAGAGACATTTGATAATCTTGCCAAATACTTTGTCCATTTCTCTATATGGACCTTATTAACCACTACATTAATCCTTTGTCCATCATAATCGACTCTTTTATCTGTGATCAAAAACCATTTTTTGTTTAATTATTTAAGACCTGAAAAGTTTTACCAGGCTGAACCCTTCAGCCATAATTGGCCTTTTTGAGTTGGTACATTTGGGACTGTCACTGAGAACCAAGAGAGGAAGTGGGGATGAGCCAGAGTGCTATACATAGCTTGTGGAAGAAACCCTAGAAGTGATAAAGACAAGAGACAGGCAGACACCTGGGAATCAGGGGTCCAATACATGTTATGTAGATGGCAACGGACTTCTATTTATATTGCATATCCAAATAAGGAGCAAACATGCAAATATGACTTGTGAATCCACGGATAAGAATATCTCTAAAAATCAAGAAGCTTGATTTCTCTTCTCTGCTTTAACATGAGTTGCTATAATTAAGTCTTTAAAAGCAAATGCCTAGGTATTTTACTGGTAGATTTTCCATTATGGGTGTGGATAATACCTACCGTGCTCTGATTTCATTGACTTGCACATAGCTTTTTTTTTTTTTTTTTTTAATGTATTTGGTACAGGGTGTTACTGTGCAGCTGAGACTCATAGTGATCATCCTGTTCTCAGGCTCCCCAGTGCTAGGATTACAGGTGTGTAACACCACACTATGTCTCATTGGCCAGCTCAGCTCTTCCAGGGTGGAACAGGTGCAGCACGTGGTGCCAGGGATCGAACCCTGGTTCCTGCACGTGCCTAAGCAGGCAATTAGTCCACTGAGCTATCTCGCTGGCCCACACATAGCTTTTTAAACATGGGAACTGACATTTAGTATTCATTTATCTCTTGAACTGAAAAATGACAATTTAGCATTCAAATGTTCCAGTTTTCTCCTTAAATAACCAGAAGTTGCTGCTATAAAAAGTACTTGTATTTAAATTATGACCCATCTTCAAAAAGACCCTTCTGAATTATGTAAGAATCTGTAACTCCTGAAATGTCCAATGCCCAACTGAATA